CGCCCGGCGCGGCGGAGCGACGCTGCTTCTGTCAGGTGGGGGGGGACGGGACAGGGAGCCCGGGCGGCGGCTCCTCTCGCTGCGTGGGGCTGGGGCTCCTGCCCTCGGGGAGTGCGGGGCCTCCCGTGAGCAGGGCTGGGTGCAGGTGCCTCGGTGCCTCGGCTGTTTTCCGAGCGTCTGAAAGCCTGCTGGGGGGTGTCTAGAGCAAAGGGACTCGGAGGGTGACTTCTGCCTGCTGTGCTTTTCCTTGCTTTCTTAATTGTGTTCTCTCCCTGCCCCTACCAGGAAAGGTGAGTGTTTCAGCTAGGGGAGCAGTTCTTCCCTAACCACCCAGGTGCCTCTCGTCAGATGTTTCAGGGATGTGTGTTGCTATAACTTCTGGGAGCTGCCTCACCCCCTCTCCTGCAGGTCTGCCTTGCTGTTCCTCCTGACTCTGCCATCCAGGAGAGAGTGTGGCTGCAGCAGGGGGGGCACTGCCCAACCCTGCCATGCCCCGGGGTGAGCTGGGCTGCCCTGTGTGTTAAAGCTCTTCCGGCATTAATTCCCCTTGATATGCCAGGTGTGTTACCGTGTGGTACTCGGTGCACCTTCTGCTGATGTACAGCAGTGAGAAAACCGGGTACAGCCAACCAAGAGATCAGACCAAGCAGCTGGATTTGGGGAAATGGTCGCTCTGCAGATTCCTTTTGACTTAGCTTTGCGCAAACACGTTTGCAAGATCAAGGAATGAAGATGGTAGAATGTATTTAGCGCTTTATTTTTGTTGCCTTTTAAAAAAGGAAGCTATTGTAGAGCCTACTCTTGCTGTATTAAAAATCCAGTCCTTAATTGTGAGTCAGAAATTGGGAGCGGAGAAAGAAAACAAATGCAATTGTGCACTTGGCTTTGCCTTCTGGGTGCCTCTTGACAGTTTCATGTGGAAATGGTAAATATAAAGCTGTGCTGATAAGGAATTGAAAATCATGCATTTTGATTCTCTCTCTATAGCGTTTTTGCTTGTACACTTCCTGTTAACAGTGAAGTTTGTCTCTCAAGGATCGATGTCTGAGTTGAGTGTGTGGCATGGGATAAGAAGCCCGAACCGCTAAATGAACTGGCATTCTGGCACAGTAATGGCTCGCAGGCTTTTTTCCTTCGGTAGGAGGAACTGGCATTGTACTTTGTATGCTCTTGGTTTGTTGCAACTTCTTGTTTATGAAGTAGCGTATGTTTTGGTTTAGTTTTCAGTACAAGTGTTCAGGTTCAAGATTTTTTCCAGACTTTATTGCCTTTGGGAAAGTGTGTTATGTAGGGCAGCGTTTCTCAGCCTTACTAATCACTTAACCTTTTTAAAAACACACCCGAAGGCTGCCTCTTCTTTTTGTAAAAAATAATCTGCTGATCATCTTGTGCAGAACTGGTCTGGTGGTTTTTATTTACCACCAAATAAAATATAGGGCAAGCCTTAAATGGTATGTTTTACCCTCCTTTGTTTATATACTTGAAGGCCTGGGTATAGGTTTTGGTTTCCTCCTGTGAACCATCTCTTGCTGTCTCATGGGCTTGTCAGATAAGGAAACCTTGATGTGGGGGGAGTGGAAGAGCTTTGGCTTGTCCATCAGCCTGTGTTGGGACACTTGACAAGGGCCGCTTTTGCGAGCGTTTGCTGTAGCAATATTTCAAACGCTGACTTAAGCAGGCCATGCCTCTGGAATGGGCGTTGCGCTCTTGTCTGTCTGTACTACTAAGAGCAATGCCTCACCTGCTTTTTTTTTTTGGCTGTTATTTTAGCTCTTCATTTACTTAGAGAGGTTGCTAACCAGTCCTGAAACTTTTATGAGGAACATCCATCTGTTACTAAAACCACTGAAGTTTCACATACTGTTTCTGCTTTCCAATCTGTCTCATTAGCACTTGACAACATTTCAATATCGGAATTCCCTCGAACTTTACAGATAACTCATCCCCCACCCAGATATTCCTGTTTGCATTAATGCTTTAGTCAGCCATGAATCAATTCTCCGTATTCCTAGCAATTATGGCTCATTTGCTGTTTACAGCCTGATGTAGCAGCATTCAGCGGATGTGCTGCAGGTGTTCGGCAGACTGGGATTTTGACTAGGTTTCCAGTCTGGCAGAGGGCTGGTTTCCTTCAGGGGCATTTCTGTGGCCAGTATGCTGTCATTAGCCATGAGTCCGGGCACTGAGAGTTACCTCGTTGTTACCTGAACAGACTTTTGAGCCGCTCTTGCGTTCCTATGGAATTCGTGTGCACCCAACAGCCTTTGGGGCAGGAATTCATACCTAGCACGGTTCCCGATCTCTGTGGGGTGGCTTGGGAGGTAGTGTCCAAGCACAGAGCAGCTGCAGATCCTTCCTTGCTAGGAGATGCTTGGAGGTGCCATCTGACAGCACTTCAGCCTCTGCGGTTCAACCCCATCCTGAGGCTCCCATGTGAGGTTTGCTTTTGTATGAGCTCTGGAAGCCCCAGTCCTTGTTTTCTGGGGAAAAGACGGGGGGGAAAGCACCTGGGTCAGCATGTGCTGCTTCCAGGACAGATGCTGGGCATGACTGTCCTCACCTGGCTGCCAGCTACTTGCTGCAAGCACGCGGGCAAGGACAAAGGGGAGACCTAGCTGGACTGAGTGCCACAGGCAGGCAGAGCCACAGATTGCTTGTGCGGGGCGACTGCAAGGAAGCTTCTGCTGGGGCGGCGGGGAAGGCATCGGCTCGCCGTCAGCCTGGGACTGGCGTGGCTTGCCTAGCAGAGCGGCCAGTGAAGTTGGTACAGGCTAAAAGCAGCTCCTCAGCCACTGTAGTGTTCCCTTCCCTCTGCCCTATTGTAGCTGCAAGCGGGAGATGTGGAAGAGTTTGCCTTTTATCCTGCCCAGCTGTGCAGTACGTGGTGGTGTGTGGGTCTGGGACGGAGCCCATAGCAAGAGAAGGAAGCCCTAAATCCACTGCCCAGGGGATGTTTCTGTGACATTGGGCGAAGCGGAAAGAGGTGGGGAGAGACAGACCAGCAGCGCAGGGGAGAGCAGACTGACAGGAGCCTGGGATGGAGGTAAAGGAAGATGAAGCAAAGGCCAAACCTGAGGATTATGCCCAGTCCCTGCGTGGGGGCGTTTCAACCTGTGTTATGCACCCAAGGCGGGTACATCGATGTTAAGGGATGAGAGCGGCTGTTGCGGAGGGCCAGCCGAACGCCCTCCTCGGTGCTTACTCAGCAGCCGGAGCCACTTGTGTTGCGTCTGTCCCGGCGGCTCCGTTGCATCTCTTCCCACCGGGCAAACCCAGCCCTTCCCGTCGGTCTCCTGCCAGGCTCCCACACCCCTGCTGGGTGGAGCGCAACCCGCCGCTCGGCTCAGTGATTCACAGATGCCAGCAAGCACATGGCACATGTTTGGGACTGGATCAGTTTATGTTTCATCTTAAACAACTGTTCTAATTATTACAGGCTGAATATGTAGATAAATATTTTAGGGAGGTGGGGGGGAAAGTGTTTTAAGGCACCACCCATCACAGGGCATGTTTGACACATGCTGTAGCTCAACTGCTCTGACAGCAGGAACTGAAATCCAAACCAAGTGAGTCTCTGCCTGTGTACAGGGCTGAAAGAAGCAGGTTCTGGGGTGGCAGGCAGTCCCGGAGCAAGAGGGAACTTCTGGGATGCAGACCGTGCTGTGCCAAGGGGTCTGACACTGCCCTCTTCCCTGTGTCTTAAAGTGGGTCAAGTGCTGTGTGGTGGTAGCATCACCGGGGCTTTCGTCGTGGTCTCTGAGGAGCCCTGGCTCCTGGGGCTGTCTTCTGCGTTCCTTTGGCTGTCAACGTCGCTTGGTTGGGCACATACTGGCGGTATCAGCAGGCCTGGCTGAGCTTGCTTTCTCAGCAGCCTGGTGGCTCAGGAGGCAGAGCAGGAAGGGAAGCAGGCCAGCATTAGCCACATGGAGGCTAGGGAAATTGCCCATCTCTGCACAGGCTGACTGAAGTCCTTGGAGGAAGGAGGAGTTTTCCCCCTCACCTGAGCAGAGCTCAGGTTTTCCCCAGCGCTCCCCCTTTGCCACAGGCATGTTCTTGGTGGCATTGTGGCTGATCTTCCCACCTGCGCTTTTCTAAACCGAGCAGCAGATATTTGGAGATCTCCAAAGCATGACCCCATCTACTCCTGAGTATTGTGGGAGCATCTGCGGTGCTTCCCCCTGCATTATTTTCAGGATGATGTTTTGTCAGGTTGGTTTTGGCTTGAATTGGTCACTAGACGTAGCGAGGACAGGCCTGGCGCAAACGGTACGTGCTGTTTCAGTTGAGGGCTGGCTGCCTGCTCTGACACTACCTCTTATAGAGATGTCATTCCCCCGGAGTGA